CACAAAAATTTGCAAGCCATCCATCTCCAAAGTGCTGCGCCTGTCCAACGCAGATTGAGCCCCCGAGGCGCGCGCTTCGACAACATCCAGTCCCCTTTTAGACACCTACCAAAATGCTGCCCCTGCCACGCAAACACACACCCAGATGCAGAAAATACTGCGCCGGCCACGAAATCTGTGCGCCATCTCCAAAGTGCTGCGCCTGTCACGCAGATTGAGCCCCCGAGCCGCGCGCTCGAAGACATCCAGTCCCTTTAGACAGCAACCAAAAGCTGCCCCTGCCACGCAAACACACACCCAGATGCAGAAAATACTGCGCCTGCCACAAAATTTGCAAGCCATCTCCAAAGTGCTGCGCCTGTCACGCAGATTGAGCCCCCGAGCCGCGCGCTCGACAACATCCAGTCCCTTTAGACACCTCCCAAATGCTGCCCCTGCCACGCAAACACACACCCAGATGCAGAAAATACTGCGCCTGCCACGAAATTTGCAAGCCATCTCCAAAGTGCTGCGCCTGTCACGCAGATTGAGCCCCCGAGCCGCGCGCTCGACAACATCCAGTCCCTTTAGACAGCTACCAAATGCTGCCCCTGCCACGCAAACACACACCCAGATGCAGAAAATACTGCGCCTGCCACGAAATTTGCAAGCCATCTCCAAAGTGCTGCGCCTGTCACGCAGATTGAGCCCCCGAGCCGCGCGCTCGACAACATCCAGTCCCTTTAGACACCTACCAAATGCTGCCCCTGCCACGCAAACACACACCCAGATGCAGAAAATACTGCGCCTGCCACGAAATTTGCAAGCCATCTCCAAAGTGCTGCGCCTGTCACGCAGATTGAGCCCCCGAGCCGCGCGCTCGACAACATCCAGTCCCTTTAGACACCTACCAAATGCTGCCCCTGCCACGCAAACACACACCCAGATGCAGAAAATACTGCGCCGGCCACGAAATCTGTGCGCCATCTCCAAAGTGCTGCGCCTGTCACGCAGATTGAGCCCCCGAGCCGCGCACTCGAAGACATCCAGTCCCTTTAGACAGCTAACAAATGCTGCTCCTGCCACGCAAACACACACCCAGATGCAGAAAATACTGCGCCGGCCACGACATCTGTGCGCCATCTCCAAAGTGCTGCGCCTGTCACGCAGATTGAGCCCCCTTTACATGCTGCCCCTGCCACGCAAACACACACCCAGATGCAGAAAATACTGCGCCTGCCACGAAATCTGTGCGCCATCTCCAAAGTGCTGCGCCTGTCACGCAGATTGAGCCCCCGAGCCGCGCGCTCGACAACATCCAGTCCCTTTAGACAGCTGCCATATGTTGCCCCTGCAGTGAGTGAGTGAGTGAGTGAGTGAGTGAGTGAGTGAGTGAGTGAGTGAGTGAGTGAGTGAGTGAGTGAGTGAGTGAGTGAGTGAGTGAGTGAGTGAGTGAGTGAGTGAGTGAGTGAGTGAGTGAGTGAGTGAGTGAGTGAGTGAGTGAGTGAGTGAGTGAGTGAGTGAGTGAGTGAGTGAGTGAGTGTGTGTGAGTGAGTGAGTGAGTGAGTGAGTGAGTGTGTGTGAGTGAGTGTGTGAGTGAGTGAGTGTGTGTGAGTGAGTGTGTGTGAGTGAGTGTGTGTGTGAGTGTGTGTGAGTGAGTGTGAGACAGTGAGTGTGAGTGAGTGGGCGGCGGGGGCGGCGGGGCGGGCGGCGGACGGCGGGGCCGGACGGCGGACGGCGGGCGCGGAGCGGTAAAAGTAAGAACCCCACACAAAGATGTGGGGAATAAGAGATCAAAACCCAATACCCTAACAGAAAGGTTGCAAAGTAGCCCCTAAGTGATGTCCGTATGGTCGCTGATACCGTTACGTTTGCCCTTCAAAGACAAAACCGCGCTTCCTTTCTGGGTTCAAACCCTGTGAGTCCCTAAGCCAAGAGACCTGAGCTCGCGGAGCAAATTCCGAGAAAACCACTTGGCCGCCAGCCTTTGGCAGGAGGCCTCCAAAAACTTCTCTTGAAGCAATCTGCTGGACCGGACCCCTGTCGAGAGACAGGCGTCCATGTTTCATGTCCCAAAGAGAAACTTAAGAGCGGGTCACCAAAAGAATGGGTGAAATCACCAGGGAGTCTTGGCGGAAGTGCTGAGGACTGAGCAGAAATCTCCTCACAAAGGGTTTCTTATGTTGTTATTTTTTTGCTTCCGGGCCAAGTCATCTGAAGAGGATCCCTTCTTTACTCAAGTTCAACACGAATCCCCAAGGGCTACAAAGAAGTTCCCTTGAGCAGTTGCGTCATGTCCCGTGTGATCTTTCTTCGTGCTGCGCAGGGCGAGAGGCTCTCGGAGGAGTTACCTTTGCTGCCTGACACCTTTTGTTTCCGCGCGGAATGAAGGGCCCCTTAAAGAGTCTAGGGACGTTCTTTACTTATCCAGACCTCGGAGATGTCAGATAGGAACAGCAACGGGAACTGGAGCTCTGGGATTTGAAGAGGACGACCGGGCAAACCTGCCCATTGCTCTCTCCTCATGTTCCGCCCCCCGATACCAAAGCCTGCAGTCCAAGGATGTACTGGCTCTCGTCAAGCTCTACTTGCTTCAAGTAGAACATGTTTCTGGCAGCGTCAGAAAATCCGACGAAGACCCGAGAAGCACTTGCCTTTAAGTACTTGGGTGGTCGATACCTGGGTGTTAACTTTCAACGCACTGCAGCAGATACGTGGGTTATAACCTAGGCAACCAACAACTTACTCTCCTGGCCAAATACCCAAACCAGCCAACAACGGCTGATCCACGGGAACCTGTTTCATAAAATTTGGCGGGTCTCTAGATGCTCCCCCGGATGGCAACTGCCATGGTTCAATCAACTTGGCAAGGTCATGCCCATAACTGGGGTAGTCTGCTTTTTGGTAAAACCTACTTGACAAGTAGCGCTATTGAACATATGAGCCAAGGACAAAACAACTCGTTTCCCCAAGAGGACTGCCTCCCTGTTTTTTGCTTTTTTTCTTCTTCCGGGGAATTGGGACGTCCCTCCTTCTCGTCCTGTGAATGTGAAATTGGAATCGAGTCTTTGGACAAAAGGAGCAGACGCGGAAAGAGGTCACATTCCCAAGCAGCTGTCAGTGCTGGCCTCTGCTTCATCAATGCCAAGCGTACAAGAGCCAGGGTCAAAGTGTACCGTTGTTTCAAGGAGACTGCGAAATGTGAGTTCCTCGGGATTAGTGGGAATCTGGTGAGTCCCCCGATGTTCCTGCCAACTGGAACATAAGACTGCACGATATTCTGACCGGAGCTTGTATCCTACAAGCTTTACTTCGGTGCATTCGAGGATTCTTTGCGTCTTCTTCAGTTGCTTTTGCGACCGTTGGTCCCCTTTTGGCCCAGATTTGTCTAAATGAGACTAGCACAGGAAGCGCAGGTTTCTGAAGCCAGTGCCACGTAAAATTGAGGCTGGGCTTCTAGTCCTTCTAGTCCGTCTGGGTCCACTTCCAGTGTCTCCTCCCAACCCCCACTTTTCGCATGCGTGCAATCCATCGCCACAAACAGTTTGGCGTCCATTTCTTCTGGCTGAATTATAAGTTACCAACCCACAAGTGGCAAGCCACGTGAAGATCTCCCTTGTTCCAAGAGAGGACAGCACTGCTGATCTAGGATGGAATGATGGTGTCCAGAAAACAATGCGTGACTGGGAAAATGCCCCCCGATTAGAATCACCCAAGCCAAAAGAAGACTTCAGCATCCAACTTTGCCGGATCCATCCGGAACCGTTTGAGTTGGGAATGAAGCGTGTGGGACCCCCAAATCTGACCAGCTGAGTTGGATGGCCAGCAAAGCGTTGCCTTTTTCGGCCCTCGACTAAAATGATGAGGACACCTGCCAACAAAAGGCGGAAAAAAACAACAAGGTCACCAGGCAATGGATGGCGTTCGGGGCAATTCCAATTCGTTCCCCCATCGAACGCAGGCGCTGGCCTGAACAATTCCCCAGACTTGCGAGCATTGGTTTGGACCTCGAATCCGCATTCGATCGAAGCGAAGGAGACACTGGGCTTATGGAAGGGGAACGCAGCGTCCTGATTCAGGTTGGTCTTGTGTTAAACGAAAACCCGAGTTTGTGACACCAAAAGGGTGCTAAAAGATTTGGAACACTGAGACAGATCAGGGGAAGCAACTGGCATGGCTCTACATGGGCATGGCAAAAGGGTAGAACGGGACTAGACTCACCAGAAAAGGAGTTTGAGAAACAATTTTCCCTTCTTTTATGGGTCCAGAAACAAAGTGGGGGGATGTTGCTTTCACATGTCCTGCTTCCCGACCCCAGTTCATTGAAGGCTGAAAACAACATTTGGTGAGGCCAATCCCAGGTCATTTGTCACGACGTCCGAGTTGGTTGAAAACGTCATGGCCATGTTCATTCCCAAATCTGAACACCAGATATACAAGTGCAGAGGTGCCGGAGTGACTGAGACCTATCATGCGTCATGTGCAAATTTCTGCATGGCTGCAATACTTTACTTGAACACTTCATGTCCTCATTCCTGGATAGGCCCTCCCCACCCCGAAAACAGCCTGAGGGCACAGAATGGTTTCGCCTGCTTGGCCTTTCGCCCCCTCAAGCGCCAGCCATGGCTGGATTTTTCGTTTTTTACCTTGTTTAAACTTGGGGTGTGTCAAAATACAGAGACCCCCCTTTTAAAGACCACACAAAAAATGGTAAGCACCATCAAAAGAGACACACACACACATGCATATGAAAATGTTTACCAATTTAACATCCTCCGATTGCCTCCACTTGAAAGGTGGTCGTCTAAACACAGCCTGCCAAGCCCCGATTCACCCCGCGATCTGGGCAAGGTGCCATGAAATCAGGAATGTGCCAAGCCTCCATGGGTTTTCGCACATATCACCCCTCCCCAAATTTGGTGAATACGTTTCGCTGGAGCGACCGCAAGGGTCGACTGAGGGCTGGGCACAAATCATTTCTCCCTTGGGCAACTCGACCCATGGCCTCACCGCAACGGCTCGAGAGATCACGCTAGGCATGCTAGGCATGCTAGGGATGGTAGGCAACATGGGTCTGTCTTTTTTGGAACGCAGTACCCCTTCTTTGCGGCTAAAGGGAAACCGAAAGGAAAACCGTTTGGCCATTTTGGGAGGGCCCCCCCCACAAAAAGCACCCACCCATTAAAACGTCAGTTTCTCCCTGCGCGGTCGGGGTGCACTCCCAGCTGTGCCGTTTGGCCGCTGCCGTCTCTGTGGTCTCGCTCGGGTGTCATGAGCCCTGCGGTTCGCAAGAGCTAACTGAGTCATAATCAAAACCCGGTATTAAAATGGTCTACCCAGAACCATGTAAAGAATTAAGAAGGCGGCCGCAGCTATTTCCGGTTGGGATTGTCCTTTACTAACCTTATCTACCCCATTGCCCATCAGACAGTTAGACAGTATTCAATGAAACTGGAAAGTCTTAGTTTGAGGCTTTGGGATTTCTATGCGGGTGTGTCTTTTTCTTCAGAAAACCTTTTCATTTTTTGGTGTCGGCTTGGAAACTTTACCGGGAAACCAAAGGGAAAACCACAAATTGTTGGGGGTCCATATGGCTGTGGGTCAAGAATAGATACCCAAAATGGCTTGGCTTGCTAAATGGAACCAAGTACTAAAACCTGCTTTTGTCCATATCGTGGTGGTTTAACAGGGCTCCCTATGTTGCCCCTTAAAACATCACCAAGTGATGTTTACAGCCACAACAAAGGGGACATATCTCGAGATTCGGGACGTAAAACCTGCGATCCATATCCTGGTGGTTTAACTTTGACCCATACTTCTCGGGGTACCTTCCTCATTTTTGTCCATTAATCCTTCCTTCCAGAGAACCTTCAGACACCGAGGGACAACGCATCCGGTTTTTGAAAAGAACGATGGTTGAAAAGCATGGAAAGGGAATCAACCCCTGGAATAAGAACGATGGTTGAAAAGAATGGAAAAGGAATCAACCCCTGGAATAAGAACGATGGTGGAAAAAGAATCAAACCCTGGAATAAGAACGATGGTTGAAAAGATGGTTGAACAGAACGATGGTTGAATCAACCCCCATGGGGGCTGGGGGGGCGAGTCCGTCTGTCTGTCTGTCTGTCTGTCTGTCTGTCTGTCTGTCTGTCTGTCTGTCTGTCTGTCTGTCTGTCTGTCTGTCTGTCTGTCTGTCTGTCTGATCCGCCAACTGTTGTTAGTCCAAGAGGCTTCTGGAGCCCCTCCGGCAGGTTCTCCGAGGCGCCTAGGGCGATGCAACCGCGAAACGGAAAAGTGGGAAGCTCAACTCCACCGAGTGGATGGGTGTTGTTGTTTCTTCCTTTTCTCGGCTTCTCAAGGTTCTTTTGCTTTTTGCTTTTTGCCTTTTCCTTTTCTCGGCTTCTCAAGGTTCTTTTGCTTTTTGATTTTTTTTGAAAAGAAATCACGAAAAAGCGTCACGGAAGCGTAAGAAACAACTACCAACTCCCTATGTTTCCAAAAGCCCACCTTTCATGAGGGGCCCTTCTGTTTTGTTTAGGAAAAAGGACGTGGAAGTTGCGAAATCACTCCTTGTGTTTTCTGCTCGTTGAAACAACAATGTGCTGCTTGGACATGGGGCATTAGGTCCTAATCCCGCTGTGGCTGGCATTGGCCCCATGTGAGGTGTGTGTCGAATCGGCAATTCTTGACCCCAGATGAATCAACCCCACTTTATTAGGGGGGTGTCCGATTCTGGGGTTAGTGGGGAATCACTACTTTTGAGAGGGAAACACCCCCGTAATGAACTGGGGTTGATGAATATGGGATCGACATTAGGTCCCCCAAACTGCTTGGTTTCCTTTAGGCTCCCCAGCAACACCGTCTCGCAGGGCTTTTCGCGAAGCAACCATGTGGCCCCAAATGGGATCCGGCCAGGGCTTGTCTCTGAGAAATGACGAACCACCCAACAATGGCTCATTTGAGGGAAAATTGGATTTTGCACCAGTTCGGACAAACCCTGACAAAGTGACAAAGCATAGGGGAGATGAAACTAAGCCCAGTTGCAGACCCGCGCCCGAAACCAGCAACTTGGCGTTTCTGCTCCCCTGGGCATAGGTCACCCTTCAGACCCGATGGTTGCTCTGTTTGGGTCGTCGCTTAGGCCGGTTTTCCAGTTGGCTTCCCTTTAACCCCTCCCCCCGTCCCCCCCTCCCCCCCCCCCATTTAACCCCCCCAAAAAAGGGAAACCTTCAATAATCGACCGTCCCACTTCGCGGATAGCTTGCGTGTTCAAATTAAATCTGGCTTTCCACAGTTGGAACACAGGAGATATCAAAGGCAAGCGGCACGAAGGTCCTATGCCCGGCAGGTTTGGGGGTTGGGCCCATCCCTAAACCTACATTATATATATATATAAAAAAAAACCAAAGAAAAAAAAACTAGAAAAAAACACTAGAAACAAAAACTTGCAGACCTCTGCCTTTGGGAAGGGAAACGACTGGCCGCGCCTGTGTACTCTTCGCCCTTGGAAGAGGACATACAGAACCTGGCGGCGGCGGAGCTGGGTCAAACGGATTCGGCCCGCAGGCGGGTTGCTGGGGTTGTCTCAAAGTAGGACCCCCAGCATGAGTGGCTTCCTTTGGATTTCCCAGACAAGCCATCCAAACTGTGCCCTGAAAGAAAGACCCACCCGGGTTTATAAGGAACAAAGGACATCCAAAGGCAAAAAGTCTGGCAATGAAAGCTCCTGTTTGTCTCACACAGCATGACCGGGATTTTGTCTGCGGAATCAACACCAAACGGAGGGTTTGCCAGGCCAAACGCCTGGAAGACTTAAGCTTAAAGTTAATCACTACGATCCCCTCTTCCCCCTTGAGATGTTCGCCAAAAACGCTACGCTTTTGCAGCCCCCGCTTAAGAACGGACAGAACATGACAGATCGAACGACCCAATAGCAGCTTGAAGAAAGCAAGCTGTTCCAACCCGGGGAGGGCGTAGGAACAAAACATCCGCATGGGTGCGTTTTCCTTTTTCTGGATGTGGTGATGCCCGCAACGCTTGATTCTCAGATTGCAAGTGGACAAAACACATCAAACCAGCACCAGGTAAAATCGCAGACGACAGCTCCTTTTTTGCGGGCTGCCTGCCCCATGCGCCCTTTGAACACAAGCAAATCGCGCTTTCGCGGCGCTTTTGCAGAGCGAGTTTTCAGGAAGCGCTGTCGCCAGCTTTCGCGAAGCAGGGTTTTCCTTGCGTGGAAGCTCTTGGGAAACCGTTTAGACAACGATCATCGTGGGGGTTTTGGGCGCTAGGTGTGGCTCAAATGTCTTTTGAGCAAATCAACTTTCTGCCCATTTGCTTCAGAGCATGGACCTGAACTCAGAACGCCGCACCGTTTTCAAAATCCCCGTCGGCAGGACGCCCTGCACTTCACTCGCGTTGCTTCCTGGGCGAGCGGGGCAAGGCTTCAGTGGATGGACCCTTGACCGAGAGACCCCCCAATTCCTCCAGTGTCTGAAAAATCAGACACGTGCGCATCTCTTGGAGATCTCTTCGAATATGTGGTGCCTGTTTCACGAGAACCCTTTAAAGGCCTAAGGTTCCAAAGGGAAACCAAAGGCTTGCGAACCAGCCCTTCAGGGGGGTCCGATTCCCAGAGACACACCCGTGCGATGTCGGCAGAACTTGAGGTGCCTGGCACGGTCTCGCCATTACCAGCGAGACTCAAATGGAAACAGGGCAAACCCTTTCGGGGAAAAGACTAGGTCCTCCAGCGGGGAGCTGAGAATAAGGATACCGTTTCTTTTTTCTGTAGTCTATTTTAGGGGAACCCTCCCCCAAAAAGGATAAGAGGGGCAGACCTTTCTCCTGAACCCGCAAATTGAAAGAACAAGAGGAGCCCCACTGCAACAAAAGAAAGTTGACATGCGTCCAACAGCGGATTTTGCTTCCGGTTTCTACAGAAGGTTTACCTCGTTACCCCACGCGTTTACCTCGTATGTTCCCAGCAGAATTTGCCGTTTTGTTTTGGCTTGTAAAACAGGCTAAGGATTCAAAGGGCAAACTGTTTCTTTGAACGACTGTCCCCGGACATCGAGGCGGAACACTTTTGAACTGGGTTGGCAAAGGGTCGAAGATTTGTTGGTGAGTGCCAGGAAACTCAAGCAGAAACTTGTTGTTGGTGAGTGCCTAACATCTGCTTTCGGCGACCCCACGGAGTTCAAGAACAAGCTCATCGCCCCCGTCCAGGGCCCAAACTTTCACTGAAGTTCTTTGGGCCGCCGCGCATCTACGAGATTGTTGGGCACCCCGTTCAGCAAGAAGCGGCAATTCCGGCCCACAATCTCCTGAACCTGGCCATGGAGCCCATGCGCGGAGCCGAGTTTTGGGTCCACGCGTCTTCGGCAAACTTAGGAAGTTGTAACGGTAAGCTGAGTTCTTACCCACTCATACTCATAGGTTCCCCCAAGTGGAGAAAACACCTGTCATTGGTGGGTTCTACCCAGGTGGCGAACCACTAACTAACTTGGCCGAACATTTAAGTAGTTGGGTGTCTCCCCAACTTCCACCAACGATCAATAGAAGTCGGTATACCTGCATCACCAGTTGCTGCTCTTTTCTGTTTCTGCTGCGCTCACACAAAAAAGAATGAAACCAATAAACGCATAAAGGGTTCAACCCATTTCCAGGCAGAAACAGTAAAAGCAATTGTCTGGCCCAGGAAAATTAAAGCCTATTGAGTCTGTTGAACCAGTTAGTCTGCCAAGTTTTCAGTCAGCTTCCAAGGTAAATGGCCCAGATGGCGAGCAGACTCTTCCCCACATCCCGAACTGGACAACCTGGGCTTGTCGGAGGGGTGGATTTCTCATTTGGGGCCCACAACATGGAGCTGTTCCATTTGGCGTCTCTTATAAAAACCAACCCAACATCGGGTACCCTCAAGAACGATACACCATGATACACTCATTTTGAGACCCGCCTGCTCGGATTTTCGGCCTCAGGGCTCCGTTCTTTTGGTTTTTTTTCGGACATCCAAAGGCCACGGGGTGGCTCAGAACCGAACCGCGGCGGGGCGGCAGAGTAGCCCGTGAGCTCTGTGAAGCCCGCGCTACATGCGATCAGGGGGCAGTCCGGCTTCGACCTCGAAAACCGAAAAGAACACCGCGGGGAGGGTTTCTTGCTGCTCTAGGTGGTTGAGTGAACCGGTTTTGGTGGGATTCCAGAAAAAAGGAAACCACCGAATGTTGGATGGCTAAGGGTCATTCCACGTCATTCCCTGAGCACCAAGTTTAAGGATGTGTTTTAGATCAGGCTTGTTTCAGCTTGTCTGCAAGGGGACGGATGGTGGCGACCCTTGCTTCTGGTCTTGACGTTCTGTTCTAGAAAGGTTCCTCTAATTTAGACTAACGCTGAAACCAGGCTAATAAACCCATCCTATTGATGGTTTTTGATCGGGAGTGTTCTCCTCCAGAAGTTCTGAGTCTCCCCTATTCATCAACCAGGGGTTTGTTGATCCGAGGTGCTCACTAGACCGGACAAGCACAGGTTTGTCTCCAAGGAGGTGCGAAAGGCACCCCCCCTTTGTGGTAGTTTCATTTTCAAGGGATCCTCCCACCCCAAAAAACATGAAAGAACCACTCAAGGCCTGCAAGTTGAAACGGTCTTCCCTCCTCCGAGTCCCGGGCGGATCAGCAAGGGTCACTGAGAAGCCTAGCTCGTACCTCGACCGAGAACTCGGTGGACGAATCGGCGTGGGAGTTCTGAGAGCCGCATGTACGCCTTGCTGTGTTCAACCCATGTCGGAAAAGGATATCATCATGCCTGTGAGCTTTTTTTTTTCATGTTCCCCTTGTACAAGGTACATACCAAGCGAGTTCAACAAAGTATCAGTCAACCCCAGGAAAAGCAACAAAGGCCAGAGTTTGTCAGAATGTGGGTATGGACCTGAACTAGGGACCCTTTTGCTTGCACATCATGCAAGCGGGTTGATTGTGTCCACCAACCGTTTTGGCGTGGTTTCCCAACACAAATCAACAGCCTCGCATCGGTTGCAGTCTCTGAACTTTCAAGACCTAGCCCGACACACCGAACAGGTCGCAAACCGGGGTTGCTGGAGGACGGGGTGGGTGGCTTGGATGCTGATTCAGAGTCTGCTCTCTTGCCTGACGAACATGGAACCCAACATCAGCCACCTTTTTGGGGCTTCTGCAACCCTCTGTCCAACTATAGAAGTGGACAGTCCAACCTCCCATCTCAACTTCCTTTGGGCAGTAACTGAAAGCCCCAAGAATGGAAGCCTCTTGGCTTCCAAATCCGTGGGTTGGCCATTCCTTCCAAAAAAGAGCCGCGGTTGTAACCCAACTAGACAGCTACTTTGAATTGACTGTTCTTTGTGGAGTTAGCACGCCCTTCTTGTTTGGTTTTGAAGGGAAGCAAAGAGGAAACCTACCATTTTGAAGGGGTGCCCGAAGAAAAAGGTACTTGTCGGTGGGGTGCAACATGCTTGTTATCCAATCAAGCAAAAGTCTGAGATCAGGTTCAGCTGCTTGGGTCCCCGGCAGCTCCTCGATGAAGAAGGTGTCGATAACATTCTGTAGCTGCGTACTGCATCGGGTGTTCCAGCGCAGAGGCCCATGAGAGGACTCCTAGCGATTCGCGATTCGCCGATGGTTGCACACGACGAGTATCCAGCGGCATTTGTAAACATGTCCATCCATGCTGGTTGGAGAAGGGGTAAGCTCAGTTTTCATCGGGACACCGAAGGAATCCGTTCAATGGTCTATCCAAATGAGCTGTCATCATCTTTCAAAGGCTCGGAGAACGCCTGGGATGGCAAAGGGAACCATCCCATCTTCCATACGGGGGTGTTTGATTTTGAGGCTCGGTACCCTTTTTCAGCTCCGTTCTTATTGGGAAACCAAAAGAAACACCGTTTGGCCATGTTGGGCGTCCGATCCCTAAAAACGGGCCATGCCCGTATGCTCTTGACTTGTTATATGGAATCCCAGGTGGGTAGGTCCAAGGAGTCGGTAGTTGAGAGCCCTCCGCGTTCCTCGGGGTTTAGGGTTTTTTAGGTAGCCTTAGGGAACCTTTCTTGCTCCAGGGATTCCAAACTTGTTTTTTCCCGGAAGCATTGCGAAGGGTTCTTCTTCTAAAAGCGGCTGCCAACTTCACCTGCCAACTTCTCATGCCAACTTGTCGAGAGTTACTTCACCTGCCAACTTCTCATGCCAACTTGTCGAGAGTTACTTCACCTGCCAACTTCTCATGCCAACTTGTCGAGAGTTACTTCACCTGCCAACTTCTCATGCCAACTTGTCGAGAGTTACTTCACCTGCCTACTTCTCATGTCAACTTTTTGAGAGTTACTTCACCTGCCAACTTCTCATGTCAACTTTTCGGCTGTTATCTCATTCTACTAAAAGCACAAGCTAATTTGTCGGGTGTTACTTCACTATCCTAAAAACACAAGCTAACTTTTCTGTTCTACCTTCACATCTCGACTCTTAATTCTTCTTCTTTTTATGGCGGGGGTAGGCCCGACGGGAGCTTACGAAACGCACCCCTCTGCGGAGATCGTGCGTGTCGAAGCGCTCTCGCTGTGGCGCCGTGCGAATTTGTCTTGAGCCCGCGAACCCTCTGCGGGGATCGTGCGTGTCGAAGCGCTCTCGCTGTGGCGCCGTGCGAATTTGTCTTGGCGAACCCTCTGCGGAGATCGTGCGTGTCGAAGCGCTCTCGCTGTGGCGCCGTGCGAATTTGTCTTGACCTTGGCGAACCCTCTGCGGAGATCGTGCGTGTCGAAGCGCTCTCGCTGTGGCGCCGTGCGAATTTGTCTTGACCTTGGCGAACCCTCTGCGGAGATCGTGCGTGTCGAAGCGCTCTCGCTGTGGCGCCGTGCGAATTTGTCTTGACCGCGGCGAACCCTCTGCGGAGATCGTGCGTGTCGAAGCGCTCTCGCTGTGGCGCCGTGCGAATTTGTCTTGACCTTGGCGAACCCTCTGCGGAGATCGTGCGTGTCGAAGCGCTCTCGCTGTGGCGCCGTGCGAATTTGTCTTGAGCTTGGCGAACCCTCTGCGGAGATCGTGCGTGTCGAAGCGCTCTCGCTGTGGCGCCGTGCGAATTTGTCTTGAGCGAACCCTCTGCGGGGATCGTGCGTGTCGAATCGCTCTCGCTGTGGCGCCGTGCGAATTGTCTTGACCGGCGAACCCTCTGCGGAGATCGTGCGTGTCGAAGCGCTCTCGCTGTGGCGCCGTGCGAATTTGTCTTGAGCCCGATGAACCCTCTGCGGGGATCGTGCGTGTCGAAGCGCTCTCGCTGTGGCGCCGTGCGAATCTGTCTTGAGCCCGATGAACCCTCTGCGGAGATCGTGCGTGTCGAAGCGCTCTCGCTGTGGCGCCGTGCGATTTTCTTGCTCGCGAAACGGCTTTTGGAAGTTGTCTCGTGGTGTGCGCGCCTGCTTTCGCAATCCCGCGGTCCCGGGCTCGATTCCCCCCTGGTCCGCGGCAGCTCCGGCTTGAAAATCACAGCTTTTAAGTACAAACGTAGTACGCGGAGCACACCCCCGCAGCTCCGGCTGGAAAATCGCAACTTTTAAGCACAGACGTAGTACGCGGAGGCTGCTGCAGCTCCGGCTGGAAAATCGCACTTTTTAAGTACAGACGTAGTACGCGGAGCGTGCTCCCGCAGCTCCGGCTGGAAAATCGCAACTTTTAGATACAAATGGCTGGAAAATCGCAACTGTAAATTGCAAATGTAGCACGCGGAGCGCCTCCGCCGCTCCAGCTTTTTGAGGGTTAATTACTTCACCTGCCAGTTTCTCATGCCGAAACTTCGAGAATTACTTCACCTGCCAGCTTCTCATGCCACCTTTTCGAGAGTTACTTCACCTGCCAACTTCTCGTGCCAACTTTTCGAGGAGTTACTTCACCTGCGAGCTTATCATGCCAACTTTTCGAGAGTTACTACACCTGCGAGCTTCTCATGCCAACTTTTCGAGAATTACTTTACCTGCCAACTTCTCATGCCAACTTTTCGAGAAATACTTTACCTGCCAACCTCTCGTGGCAACTTCACCTGCCAACTTTTCGAGAATTACTTCACCTGCCAACTTCTCATGCCAACTTTTCGAGAAATACTTTATCTGCCAACCTCTCGTGCAACTTTTCGAAAAATTACTTCACCTGCCAGCTTCTCATGCCAACTTTTCGAGAGGTACTTCACCTGCCAACATCGCCTGCCAACTTTTCGAGAGTTACTTCGCCTGCCAACTTCTCGCGCCAACTTTTCGAGAATTACTTCGCCTGCCAACTTCTCATGCTAACTTTTCGAAAGTTACTTCACCTGCCGGCTTCTCACGCCAACTTTTCGAGAGTTACTTCACGCGCCATCTTCTCGTGCCAACTTTTCGAGAATTACTTCACCTGCCAGCTTCTCACGCCAACTTTTCGAGAGTTACTTCACCTGCCAACTTCTCATGCCAACTCTTTGAGAGTTATTTCACCTGCCAACTTCTCATGCCAACTTTTCTCTTGAGTTACTTCGCCTGCCAACTTCTCATGTCAACTTTGCGAGAATTACTTCACCCGCCAACTTTGCCAGCCAACTATTCGAGAGTTACTTAACCTGCCAGCTTCTCATGCCAACTTTTTGAGAATTGCTTCGCCTGCCAACTCCTCATGCTAACTTTGCGAGAGTTACCTCACCTGCATCAACTTGCCTCTATGCTTCCGGGCCACTCGTCGTCTAGTTTTGGTAGCCTTAGGGACCCCCCTTGCTCCAGGGACTCCAAACTTGGAAACCAAACTTGGGAAGCCAAGTCGGGAAACCACATCGCGAAACCCAACTTGATCCAACCGGGACACCCAACTTTGGGACGCCGAACGAAGGTCCTGTCGCGAGAAGCCGGGATCCTGCTTGCGCCGGATGCGGGCGGTGGGCTGTGGCTGGCGGTCTCTTCTCTTGGGGAGCGCCGTTCTTTTTTTTTGCGGCTTAAAGGAAGCCCAAAATAAAAACCCCTGGTCTCCACTTTGTGTCTTTCTTTGGCGAGGGCCGGTTTTCCGGTTTAAAGAAAGCCCAAAGGAGATGACCTCTTGCGCCGTATTTTGGTGGGGCCTATTCCAACAAAAACCGCCACCGACGAAGCAACGAACCGCCACGGGCACCTAAAAATTGTCCAGCGTTTCAGGCCCCGTGCCTTTTGAAGTGCCGGTCTTGAATTCCTGAGGAAGCAAGTCCCCAACCCTAAGCGAAAGAACAACTCATCCAACTCCTGGTTTCAGTGAAACAACTGTGGTTTGACAAAAACGAGCTACCTGTAAGAACAACTCATCCAACCCAACTAGTGTCAGTGGAAAAGGATGTGGTTGTTGACTAAATACTAAAACAAGAATCCCATTCAGCACAACGGGACTTTCTTTGGCGCCCTGCTCAAGGCCGAGGCTGAAAGAGAGGACGTGCAACTCGGGGTGATTGGCCCAGAGAACCCAAAGAAATACCACTGGCTGATTGGCCCAGAAGGCACGACTTAAACCAGGGGAAACGCAAGGACGGATGCTCAAAATCCGGCCAAATCTGTTCACAGTTGATAGGAAACCTAGGGTCTAACATCACAAGGTTGATGGCCATGCCTTATCAGCCCGCACGCAAGTCAAAGATTCCCCCCGGAAACCCCCCAAATCACAACTGAAAGCGGAAATACAGCTCTCAAGCTCATTACCTCTCTTTCAATCCACGGGCTTCACCCCATGGGCTACGGTCCAGTCTGACGCAACGTCTCCCCTAACTCCCTTAAGGTGGCACAGCTTGGAACTTCTGTCGCCAGAAGCACAGGGCGCCACAAAGTTTCGCCTGAAACCTTCCATGGATCTTCTCAAGAGGCCAGGAGCCTAGGCAGCTGCGCTTGATGGAGCTCCTTACTAAGGATGCCTTTGGGGCCGGAGGTCCTCTGGGCTTGTCATGATAAGCAAAATTTGCGGGCGGCAGAACCGGCAATCTCTCCCCACGCAACCTCCAATGCGCCAAAACAAACGGGTCCATGTTTGGCTTTTATGACTGGATGGGCCCCGGGTTGCTCACTTAAAAGCCGCCAAGGGGAAACCCAGAGTGTTTGCAAAAACAAGTCCTTCTCTGGCTGGGAAAAGATGCCAAAATATCCATCCCCTGTTGATGTCCCTTGGAAACTTTCAACGCTCAGCTCGCCTTGTCAGATGCCGGAAAGTGAGGAAGCGCTCTGAGAGTGTCGTGTTCCTCAATCTCCTCCTCCTGGCCGTTTTCGCAAAATCCCCCGAATCGCCGAATCGGAGTGTGATACTTCCCAAGCCCTGGCTGTGTCTCAAAAGGATCCTGTTCTTTGCTTCCCACCCCACTAGACATGAGAAGAACAGAACCCCAAAAGAAATCCAGCAACAGGCCAAAATCACTGGCTGGCCCAAATGTAAACGGTTCCCATCTTTTCGGAGACCGGCCGGCGTAAAAGCTCTTCCCGAGGTTCTGGGGCGTAGCTTTGGATCAAAGTGAGGAAAGGGAAACATGGCATCCAAGTTGGTGCGTCTGGCCAACTCTAAGATACATCTACAGTATGGCACGATCTAGTTTCACCCACCTTCAGAAAGCTAAATCAGAAGCGGGCCGACCTCCAAGGGAACCCTTCAAAGCCAACCGAAAGACGCACCTCCCCTAAAAGCGCCCGCAGGAAGCCCATTTCTGAAGTCCGCGCTTCAGTGAATTGATGTGGATTGTCCCGAAGTCCGAACTTTTGTCTGCCGCCAAAAGATCTTCTTAAAAAAGTGCTTTAAGTGCAGAAAAACCGCAAAGGAAGCCGTATAGGGCCAAACCTCACCAGGCACTTTGTCGGGGCGTTGGGAACCCAGTGACCTCAGCCAAGACCTGCTTAGGCTGGTTGGCTTTTTGATTTCCGCCAACAAGAAAACCTCAAACGGGGCACGTCGGATTACATCTTCCGCGAGACCGTACCAACTAGGGGTGGTCCTTGGTAAAAGAAACGACCATATCTACTTTTGTTTTTTTTTCCTCTTTGACTAATTGCTCCTCCGGATGAAATTCCGAAGTTGAGACTAGGTTGGGCTCCTGAGTGTCCAAGCCAACTGCTCTGTGCCACAAACCAATGGCCCATCCCCGAAATTTGTGACTCAAGCCCAGGAACTCAGGGAGCGAGATGCCACCGCCCGATTTTCGCCCACAGAAGATACACCAAAAACACGCCCAAGGGATTCCGACATACGGCCGGCCCTGGCTTCCATTTGCCTAAGACCCCTGGAAAAGAAATCAAAACAAACATGTCCGGTGGTGATAAATTCCTTCTGAAACCAACAATGGAAATACACATAGTCTTAAGCAAATGGAAGCTTGTAGATTCGGTCTGGGTTTGGATCCCCCAAAAGGTCCTCACTTCCCAGGTGTCCAAAACCTTCGCGCGAGCGAGCCCACTGAGCCGCGGCCTCAACCTTCGTATTCGACTCGCTCGAGAAAATGAAGTGGACACCCTGCCTCCAACTCGGGCACCCGCATGTGAAAAAACGTTTCCTGCAGGGCAAGCGAAGAACACGCTGCAACGGACCATCACGACACTCCCCAATTGGCCATGGGTCAAAAGCCCGTACCCCCAGTGAACATCCCACTCCCCACTAAAATAGACTAAAACCTACCCCAAAATGCTACCATTAGTTGTGACCCACAGCCAAGTCACGAAAGACATGGGCAACATGTTCCCGGAAACCCCTACGTTCGCCACCTTGTGACAAGCGCGGATTTTTGTTTAATCAGCATTTTACTGGGTGAGGCTTTCACCATGTGGAGCATGGACTCCCGCACAAGCGCGCTGTTTTGGAGCAAGGACTGTAGAATCTGCTGTTTTCGTGCTTTGAGGGGGGAAGACCTACTTACAACTATTAGGATGGGTTTCGGGCTTCTCGGGGGCGCCGGGGGTGGGGGTGGGCCCTCCAACTCACATTGGAAGGTTGAGGGATCTCGGACTGGAGACCGCCAACTTGCACTGGATGAGGGGTTTCTCGGGCTTTTGTGGAGACTTCTAGCTTGGCGGCTTGGCGGCGGCGGCCGCATTGCCGCAAGGGGCCCACGCAGTCGGGCCAACGTAGGGTTCCCAGCAAACACGTTTTACCAGTAGCACGGCCTTTGTTAAAAAGGGGGAAAGGAGTACATTGGGTTTTATCATTTAAGTATCCCCTCTAACTCATAGAGGGGAGCTGCCCCCATTCCTGAAGAAACTAAACAAACGATGTGGGCCGTTGTCCGCCACTCTGGTCCTAATATCTGAGACAACATGGTCGTTCCAAAGCCCGTATCCGGGCTTCCACGTGGTTTTGGGAAGGCAGACCAAAAGGAGCTGAACAGGGGCGGATGCGGTTGGGGGGGGGGAATCCTATGAATTGTTGGACCTCCAATGGACCCTTGTTTCTGGCATGGACTCCACAAGAAAGGCGCAGAGAGGGTAAAGCGGCAGAAAGGGGTCCATCAATCCACGGTTGTGAGAATCACCCACCTGCAAGCTGCAATACGATGACTCCAAAACCTGAAATTGGGGTTGACCAAAAGGTCCTGCACATGGAATGACCATTTGGGAACCCCCAAAAAGATCGCGTTCCCACTAAATGGGAAGGTTACCGAATGCGAATGGTCACTTAATTTTGGAGCCAGGAGTATTGATCAACCCCCAATGAAGGGAATCCCAAGTAAAGGACCTACATCATCGGTGAACTTTCTCTAGGTCCTCCAGTAGAGAGGTTAGAATAAGGGTACCCTTTTTTCTGTAGTTTAGTAGGGGAACCCTCCCACAAAAAAGTTGGTACTACTGGGGGACCTAGCCAAGTAAAGGACCTAACTCATGGGTGAACTTTCTCGTTTTACCCCAGGGTGACGGGCCTGGGTCGGCATTGCCATACTGGACAGCTCGAGAGGCAGCCTGGCTGGTCCATTGTCAGCCATGAGAATTTGGGGAAGCCATAAACCACCAGTACAAACATGCAAGATGGAAGTTGTTGATTGTTGACTCTTATGTAAGTTGTTGATCTCCAGAACTTCAATACATGTTATTTCCGCTTGTGCAAGTTGCTGATGTCCATAAGGCAGTTTGACCCTCTCATTCATCTAAGGGCTGGTGTCCATTCTCATTCTCTTCACCCATCCTCCTCTTTAGATGGAAGACAATAATTGATGAGGACAATCAACATGGAAGGCATGTCATACCTGACCCCATGCCCCGAGAGCCTCGAGAAAAGAACAAAAAAAGGCTCGCACACCTGTTGGACACCTCCAACTCACGGCAGGGGATCTGAAAAAGACGATCGAGGAGCGGCCCCTCTGCTCCGAAGCCGACAAAGTGCAAGCAATCGGAGTGAAGGATCGCTGAAGCTGGGCAACCGCCCAAATCCCCGACGATTCGCCAGCTGTTCAAGTTGGAAAGTAGATGGGTGTGACACATGGTTGATGCTTCTGGTACCCTTTTTGGCGTGTCTTCCCTTGAAAACCACAACTAGGTCCTCCAGTAGAGAGGTTAGACTAAGGGTACCCTTTTTTCGGTAGTCTATTTAGTAGGGGAACCCTCCCCGCAAAAAAAATGCAAAAAGGCACTACTGGGGGATTTGGGGTGCGCTTCTTTTTGAGACACACCCATGTCCACGAAGGGCTCCAGGGCACCAGTTAAGTTTCCATTCCCTAAACAGTGGCTTGCCGTTTGACACCTTTCGGGAAAGTCGGAAGGGATCCCCCAAAGAGGGTACTCGCGTGTTCAAGCCACTTCGCAAGCCGGTTGCAACTGCGTGTCCAACGGGACTAAGAATGCAGAACCATGGCTAACACCTACTCAATTACGCGTTAGTAGGTTGAACATCCTGGTACTGTGTCAAACATGGGAACCCCCCCAACAAAAACACGTCTTTCTCTGTCGGGCTTTCCTTTTACAACCACATCCAAAGCACGAAACCGCCTAAAATTCAACTCCCATCGACATCGATCGGTTCGCGGAACTCGGCCTCAGACCCGCCCTCGGCCTTCCCAGCTGAGCCAAATGCCGGCGGCTTTGCGCTTCGGCGGTGCGAGCGCTCGCTCCCTTTGGGGAGCGGACCTTCAAGAGGCCTTGGGGAGCCAAGGTGTTGGAATAAGGGTACCAACGTTTTTCCGTAGTCTATTTTAGTAGGGGAACCTTTTTCCAAGAAAGGGTGAAAGGGCACTACTGGGAGACCTAGAAGTCCTGGGGGATACTTTTTCTGTGAGACATGGAACCAACATGGTGGCGATTCTTTTGGGTGCAACGATCAGCAGCGTCATAGGGTGATAGCCCTCGTCGCCATATGCCACAGCCATTTCGGCAACGGCACCTGGAATGCAGACATGCGCATCCAAAACCCGCTCCCATATGTTAACTTGTAGTGGATGCCCTGAATATCAAGGATACAGTATATAGAAAGAACTCGGTGGAAACCCTGCAACTTAGAAATGTACAGCACTGCAATTCTGTAGGATTCTACTCTTATTTGGGTTTTTTCAGGGGAAGCGGGGCTGGATCCTATGAAACTTCTGTTCTTTTTGGTTGGGTGCGAGTCACTTGCGACACTTAGGACATTAACGTATTTTCACTCGGGGCGATCGGCCGCGCCATCTTTTTTTTGCCCAGCCGCCCGCAGCGCTCTGCGGGATTCGATCTCGAACCTCCATGATGCTCCGACGAAACAACTTGGGCCCCTGGGCTGGCTGCGAAGGCACATGAGATGACTAGAACAATTCGAGCAGCACATTTTTTTTACGTAGCTGATAACCAGCTCAGGAGATAACCAGCCAACAACCATCATGCGTTGATCAATTGTGATTTGCCACTCTCCGAAAAAGGAAGCAGCCACGTGGTGCGTGGCTGGATCACGGCTCAACAGGCCAATTCGCATCGTGAATTGAACCGCGAACCCCCGCCGTCGCATGTAGGAAGCGACGAATGGGGGACCCCGTGTGTGGCATTTCACGAAGGCAAAAGGCACACCCAACCAAAGAGGGTTCCCAATGTTTCTCTGGACATCACCCCAAAGGATGTTCACTTTGAAAGCAGCTGAGATGTGATGCTCACCACCCGACAGCGGGGACGCGACTGCGCGACAACGTTAAAAAACTGCGATCTTTCACCGGGCACGGCCCGGCCTCACATTCTCTTTGTCCTCGGCGCGAGCAGCGTGTCAATGGCTATGTCTTGGGTCCCTTTGGGCGCTGGTGTTGCGCAACCCAAACAGTAGGCCTGGTGCGCAATGTGATATGGCTGGCTGAAAGGGAGACCACAGGAAAACAGACGTCCCCGACCTTGAGACATGGCCACATGTTCTGCCAAAACCAAAGAGCCGAAGAGCTTCCAGGTCTCAAAGCGAAATGCCCGAATCTTGGGACCTCGAGGTTTGAGGTCCAAACCCTTCTAATGGAGATCCAACTACTTCCACATGGTGCTTGGGGCAGGAGTCTTTTGTTGCTTAAAAAAGCTACCGAGAGGTTCCTCTACGGGAGCTGAACACAAAATCCATCCCTAGGACAAGACGTAGACAGCCCTACAGCCCCCCCTCCCCCCACGCCCATACCTGTGGCCAAAAACACATCCTTCTGGGGGATTCCTTCCAAGTGAAGCACCGCCCCTGAACATGAACACCATCACCACTACCACATCCTGCTTCAGTGCCCCAAAGAAGGGGAGGGCGCCCCGTGTTTCTCTACATCTACAGCGGCTCCTTGATTTGAGTTGACTCCAAGGGACAAGACCCTTGAAGTAGGTCAACTTCTATGGACCAGAACCATTCCCACTTCCTTTTGCCACCTGCCGAATCGGTTTCTTGATTAGATATAGAAACTCGCCGGATTGTTTGTTGGGCTTTGCTGAGCTCCATCTGAGTTTCCGTTGGGTTTCCTTCTCGGTTTCCCCTGAGTTTCCCCGGAGTTTCTCTAGGATTCCCTGTACAGGACCCATCACACTTCGCGAACCTCCCAACGGTCAACAGTCCTCCGGCACTGCTGGCAGATCCAACCTCGAAACTGCGCCACACTCTGGGTTTGTCAGCCAGCCGCCTCCCGGTCGCCAAGAAAAGTTGCCGGACCTCAAATGGCTTGCCGGCCTCAAATGGTCAAAACCCCAAAAGCGAGTCTCTAAAAGTCCGAAATGGAACGCAGGCCGTGAGACAGTCTCTTGCCTCGGATACACACCGGAAGTTGCGCTGGTCCATGAGAAAAAACAAGGCGAATAGTTTTGCCTCACTAGCAAGCTACCCTCCCACGAATCAACATGGAACCTGACAGGGGGGTTCTGGAAGACAAGTTTCCTTTTAAAGGCACCCCCTGTCAGGTTCCTTGCTAGTTGATGGGAACGGTAATAGTTTTGCCAGCCTTCGGGATAAGTTCTGTCACCAAATCAACTTGGGACTGTCGTTGGGATGCTAACAAACCACAAAAGGAAACCAAGGAATTACCTGGAAGGGCAACACACAATTGGGAATTGCTAAAAAGCGGGCTGTCGAGTTGCCGACCTGGAAACGGCGATTGGCTTCCTCTTGGTTCCTGTTGAAACCATCCGAGAAAATGTGTCTTCGAGACAACTCAAAACAAAACATGAAAAGCCTCTGCAATTCATGCATGGCTACCCAAAAAATAGCATATATTATATTATGGAACAACTGAACAACTGTCAACTATACATGGGCACCCCACTTTATGGGTATGTGATAGGTGTCAAAATAGGACCCGCCAAATGCTGGTTTCCTTCGGACTGGCGTTCAATTGCGATGTGTCCAACCTTCAAACGAGTACCCTGCGAACCGCAAAACGAGCAGCGCTAACCCATCGGGCTCGCCTGTGCCGCACGGAGAGCTTCGCTTTGCTACGCTGCCTCATGGCGAGCAAAACCAACTCTTTGCCTCTTGGCGGACATGGGGGAAATTTGGGCATGTCTTTCTTTAGGCGACCCCCAAAATGGCGGGGTGTCCTTTGGTTTCCCTTTAACAGCAAAAAAAGGTACCAACTCCCAAAAGGATAACCCCTCTTAGATTTCGCCTTCTGGTTGACAGGAAGGCGCATAGTTCATGGCCGTCCAGGAAGTTAATTTCATGCGATTCCTGTTGCGTCTCTCAAGGTAAATGCGAAAGTGGATGGCAGTCGTACTTTTCTTGTTCGTAAAGCAGAAGATGAAACCATGGGAAGGATGAAAACGATTAAATGGGGAAAGACGAAAACCATGGGGAAGATTCAAGATAAAACCCCACATGCGGAAATTAAAAACCATTGGGAAGATAAAGCCCCTAAATGCGGAAGATGAAAGACCAATTGGGGAAGATGACACCATGGGGAGAAACACCTGGATGGGGAAGATGACACCATGGGGCGGATGAAACACCTACACGCGGAAGATGCAAAACCAATTGGGGAAGATGATGCCATGGGAAAGAAGAAATACCTAAATGTGGAAGATGAAACCAGGAAGATGAAACACCATCTACGTTCACTGCTTCAATTCGCCAGATGGTTTGTGGCCAGTTGCTTTTCGCCCGCGACTCAAGCTCGACAGTCGAACCCCCAAACAATTTGGCTGACGTGAAGACATGGGGCTCCCCTGAGATCGTTGACCAGAATTCAGATACCCTCAGAATCAAAGGCTGCCGCAGCCAACGGGTGGGACTGCCCCTATACTTCCTTACCTCGAGTTTTGATTGTGGCTCAATCCTTCTATCGATTACGTCCCCTACACATATATAAGATGTGTCCAGAGATAGATTCCCTTAAAAGCCTTGACTTTTCTGAGTAGGCTGCAAACTTTGATTTACCACCAAAACGCCAATACTTTTCTGCGCAGGCTGGGCAAGAAGAGTCCAAACTTTGATTTGCCACCAAAACGCCAATGGCTACCACACAGCGTGGGTTCGCTTCCACTGAGCCCCAACAACATCTCCTCCAGCGAGAGCGTGCCCCCACGGCCCTGGCGAGCGCAAGCGCTTCGACCCACCTGCAAACCAAACCACCCCCCCCCGCCCCCCTGCTTTTGTCAGCTTCCAACTCGATTTTTGGGGAAACTTGGAGCCCGGTGGCTTGCAGGTGTGGAGGTTGGTTTCCCATTTACCCTCAAGAACCCGCGGTTCAAATCCGCAAAACCAATCCAAACTACCAAGTAGGAGTAACCTGAAGGTGGTGTCCTGCCTTAAAGACCATCCAAAAAGCGCTCTGCCTGCCTTCGACATGCCTGTAGGACCGAAACACGCCTCCGGTGTTGGTCTGCTGCAGTCTTCCCCAAGCGGGGTGTTTGGGGAGGTGATGTTGTTTGGTGGGACGGGCGGGTATTTAAGCCTATGCTGTTCACCACCCCCAAACCAACAGGAGAAATGGATAATATGTAAACTTGAACAAAGCAAAGTGTTTTTCCCCGAAGGGGGGCCTGGCGGTCAGGGGCAAGCCATCTTGTCCCCCAATGGCCCAACGTCCGTATCAAAGTGACCAAAGACTTCACACTTCAGGGTTTCCCACTTCACATGAGCACAAAAAAAGTCTGCCGTCAGAAAGACACAGCCAATTATAACTCGGTGAAGAAAAGTATACTCCCAAGCACGCGCCCGCCAGTCTCTCCAACCCCGATGATCAAATTGTCGAACTCTGCAAGGCAAATGCCCAAGATGGTTGCCCCAATCACCAGGCCTAAGGAACTAACATGTTTATATTACTGCTTCGCAAAAGTGCGCATGGGCAGCACTGCATGGAACGCGTGATCGAGCCAGCGCTGTGACCAAACAGTCGCTCTTTCTACTAGCCCGCAGTTGAGCCTGGTGGTTTGCGGCAAAACCATGAGAGGCTCACGAATTGGGCAGGGCTCAGTCGTTTCCCGTGCGACCGTGGCAAAAATACAACAACTGAGTGGGTTGCACACCCAACAGTATCTCTGGCACAGGGCAGACAAATGGTTCCTGCGAAGGGTGTGTCGCGCAAGGAAACACTCCACGCGGGTAAGGTGGCGTAAGCTAGTGGCGTAAGCAAAATGATACGACATAGCAAATCATGACACGTTTAG